TCTGAAATTTTATCTTTCACGCCGTTTGCCTATTATCCATCTGAACTAGACCTATGCAATGTTCACACCTATCGTTTTGCATGACTGATTCAAAGTAGGTTATTTACTTCCTAGTCATATTATCTCCCAATGTATCTCTAATATATATAACTGTATGTAAAGTGTTCAGCTGAAGAGAGTCCTAAGGAAATTTCGTGGATTCAGTAAATTTTACTTTGATAACATTTGTTGCTTGTTTTAAATCCGTATCAGGAAAAAAATATTTCTCTATCTAAATAAGTAAGCAAATATTAAAAACTCATCACTCTTTTAACTTGAGATAAAGTTTTGTTTTTTGTTTGTTTGCAAACACTTACTCTCCTTACTGTATGAACACATTCAAATTGTTGTCTGTTGTCACTCATCAAGTTTCTCAACTGTAGACCATGGAAACCAGTTGATTAGGTTGCTTGCAAGGGATTTTAGATCGCTTCCAGTTGGCTTCAACTAGAAATAACGCTCAAGATTGTTTTGTAGCTATCAATCCTGACAGACCTGAGTTCTAGCCACAATACTTGGCCACTAGATTAGGTGGTCGAGGCTGAACTTAACACCATCATAACTACCGAGGGGAGAATATAACACTTAAAGCTTCTGAAAGATGTATTCGTTGGCGATGATTTGGAGAGAGTGTATAATTAAATAGTCATATCTAAACGAAGCTACTGAGCTCTTGTCCCTTGAAAATTATCTTGACCATCACTTCTTTCAATCCGCATGGATAAACAAAGTGATCACTGAGGATGAAACAACCAAGTTTCAGTTAAGTTGACGGACCTCTATGATCCTCTACAGTGGTATCATATAAGTTCTCTTCACCTCTTTGTGTATTGTATCAAGGTCAGACGATTTACAATGATGCATTTCTATGCAAGTTTTTACGTAGATATATCCAACAAACATGGCTAAAAAGTAGAAGTTATCTCTTTCTCAAAAGGCGCACTTGCATCCTCTTGGATGATGCAAATGTTACAGTTAGGACTGAAAAAGTAACCTCAAATTTTGTAACACAACCGTTTTAGATAGAATAAAGTAAGATTAAGTCGTTTGATCATCAGGAATCTCCTAGTGCTAGATTAAATGCGATCAACACGTGGGAATATCTTCAAATTTTTTATATACTGATCTACAGCAATTATGTGAAGAAGAATGTACTGTATCATAGCACAAAAATTCGGTTAAAAACTACCATTATGCTTAAACCACTCGGCTACACTTAAATTTCCATCCAAAAATAATTCAATTCACCTACTTTTCATAGTTTCGCATTATTTTAATCTTCCATTTATGCCTTTGGGTCGCAATATAAACCCATACAAATTTTTTAAACTGGCTTCCAGCCTACTGCTGTTCCCTTCAAGATGAAAATGGAAGAAAAATGTCGTAGGGGATCAAGTCTGGTTTCAGATGGAATGAATCTGCATTGTACGACATATACTGCTTAAAACTTAGGCTACTAAAAACCTCCATCAATATATTGCACACATTTTCTCCTGTCCACTTTGTTTTAATCGACTAAATTATGATCACCAATGGTGTTATTTACCCTCGCGAGTATTTAAAGCGTTTACAACCTGCTGATTTACGAGTTTCTACTAAACTTGAGAAAAAGCACAATCGTGTGGGGTGGGGGGAGATAGCGTGTAACATATCCCAATATGAGAGATAACTGTTCCCGCGTCATGTCCTTGAGTCTTAAAATGTATTCCTGAACTTTTTACAGTTGGCTTTCCACTTAATGTCGTGTATTTCTCTAGGGAGAGAAAGAAGAGATAGCTTAGTGGGTTTGTTTACGCTCTAGGTTAGAGAGCATTGTGTCACGCGACCTACTGTCAGTTGATATTTTATCTAAAGATCCTATGAGAAGAGGAAATATCATGCAATAAATTCCGTTGAAAATTCTACACATTGTATAAAAACTGTTCAGAATAAAGCGATTATTATTACTGTCGATATATGTGAACAAGTGGACAAGAAGTCGATAAACATTGGAATCCATATTGAAATCCTAAAAGAATTGATATTAAGATGTACCATGAATGTAAACTTCAAATTTGACGGCACGCTTTACAGGCAAGTGGACGGGGTGGCAATGGGCTCCCCACTGGGTCCCATTCTGGCTGATTTCTTTCTAAGTAAGCTAGAAAATGGACTTCTGAACAACCTTATCAGAAAGCTCTCATTTTATTGCCGATAAATGGATGATACCTTTATTCTTTGTGATAATGGTTCCGATAGGAGTACAATAATTACTGAATTCAATGAAGTACATTCGGCTATGAAATTCACATGCGAAGAGGAATCCCAAGACAGAATTGCCTTCCTGGATGTCCTACTTACAAGAAAACCAGACGGTAGCATAAAAAGAAATTTACATAGGAAAAGTACTTGGACGGGACAATATACACACTTTCATAGCTTCGTTCTCATCAAATACAAAAGGAATTCGGTGAAGACCCTTAGCCACAGAGTTAGAGCTATATGCTCTGAAGAAGTAATTAAAGATGAATTAAGCATAGTATATGATACTTTAATCGAAAATGGTTGTCCTGACAAATTTATCAAGAAACATATGACAAAGAAGGCCGAAAAGGACTACCCACTATCTGTAAACAAGAAGCCACTCTATATACGACTACAATTCATGGGCGATATACCAAGTGAGTTAATTACAAAGAAATTAGGAAAATCAGTTCAAAGAACTTTTAATACTGGCGAACTACATGTATTATTCTCTACACGACCGATGGTGCTACCTCGACTGAAAGATGAAGTACCTAGACTAGCCACTTCTAATTGTATTTATCAATTCAACTGCGCTTGTGGAGAGAGTTGTGTTGGCCATTGCTCTAGGAACTTGATTTTTCGTTCTCCAGAACATCTCCCACTATGGCTAAGTAAAGGTGTAGTTAAAGCTATTAACAACTCGATATTAGACCATCTGGTGCAAACCGGTCACAAAAGCCAGCCAGCGTGGAAGAATCCTTCTCTATAATATACCGGGTGCCTAACAAACTACCAAAATCGTCGAAGCACCGCATGCTCCAAACAGCAGAGGCTACTGCAATTCGACTCAAACAACCAGTGCTCTGTGTCCAAAAGAAACAAGTCCAGCTCCTACTACTGCCCTGGCCCTCAGTAGAGACTATAAACTAATGAATTTGTACTATTATCTTTCCTAAATCTTCTGACATTCAGTTTATTTGGTGTTGATGCTGTTGAGCTGTAATTTATCAATATTATTGATTTGATGTTATTTAAACATTAATGTCTTTGATAAGACTAATTCATTCATTCATTATAATGTATATATAATTGTAGAACCTGATGATGAATGTATCGAAAAGAGTACTCTTTGTTCCGTGTCTATTCTTTTGAAAATATTTAGGTGATGATTCTATACGGGGAGTAAATATTTTGCAAGAATTTACGCCGAGAATTCTGCACTGTGTGTAAACACGATTTCCAGAATATAAAGCGGATATAATTACTAAAATATCTACCGAAATTTCGTTGCACCATAGTTAGCACAGTCGCCGTTTAGCCTTAGGTGTTGATTAAAACCTATCAATCGTGAGGGTAATTAAAGTCAACAACTTGAACGGCACAACAAGTTATTGTATTTTGTTTTGATTTGTGGTATCAAGAGTTGTCCACAAAGGAGATCATGTATTCAGCTTTTCATGCTTGCTTAACATCTGTCTCTGTCTGTCTGGATTCAATATAGAACTTGGCACCGATGTGCAGCAGTTCGAGTTGCCACGTTCCAAATAGCACACAAAGGTAGACAAGAAGATGAGTGAAGAGAATCAATAGAGTTTTGACAAGTATAAGAGTGAAACAATGCGTAATGCTAGAAAGGAATATGGAAGATTACAGAGACTGAATACATCTGCGCCGCTGACAACGATTTCGAGCCATGTCACCTATTGTCTCCAGCCATTGATTCTTAGAGTCCCGAGGGCCCCAACCCGGAAGTCTGCATCTCCCTACCTGACTCTTGCTTAACATAGACATAATATTTTTTTTGAACTCACGTTATCCTGTGAATTTGAACCATCTTTCAGATAACTTATAACGTAAATAGTTTCGCCCTATAGTCATTAATTTTTGGCGGTTATCAACTCGAATGAAACGCTAATTTCAACAGAGGTTGCAAACACCCTTAAACGAATCAAAAGTTACGCCCACAGCTATCCTAGGAATAGATCACTGACATCAAAAACACAAAGTAGTAGAAAGCAGTCTTATAAAATAGGAGTGAGTAATATGCATTGCCTAAACCTAATACTAATCCAATGGAGTATTTTTTTATGAAAATAGTTATGTTCCACGGCTGCCTTGTCAGTACATGTGACTACTCCTCGTTAGATAACATCCTGAACTTCGAATACAAATAATATTCAGAAAATAAGATATAAAATAATATCTCTAGCGACAAAGTATACTTTCACTACTCATAATTTATCCTTCTCACTGAAATGATAAACACATACGTCAAGATGAATTCGCCTCAGATTTACATCCAATAAAGTTTCATCTGGTTCACGTTATAATGTAAAGAGAGAAACAATAATTTTTTACGCAGACAGTAATTATAACAGTTACAATGCCACCAATGTCACCAAAAGCACTTTCAACTGACTTCAGACTTTTATCAACAATTGTCTTTGCTGGCTCAGGCAGCAAGGAACCCCATAATTTAACAAATATGCGGAAGGAAAACAGAGTTAGATTGAACAGACGCTGAGAAGGCTGTTGAATGATATCATGAGCTGGGCTCTCGAGTGGAACCCGAATGGGAAACGACGAGTTGCGTGTCCGAGGGTGATATGCAAGAGATTTGATGAGGAGAAGATAAGAGCTCACAGGCAACCGTAGACCAAGCTACAGACGACTCCAGAGAACAGAGTGAAATAGAAATGTGTTGTTGAACCTCCATGCGTTCCACTCGAAATCTGCGGGAATAATAATATGTAAATAATACAATATAATAATAGTAATTTCCTGGCCAAATTGCCATTGCATTACAAACAGCCTGTGACCAGTTCTATGTATTTCCAATCTATTGCATAACTTATGAGTAATCAAAATAGGAATCTTATTGTTGAAAATGTTTATCATTTTGTAAGTAAAACTGTAAAACCTCTTTCTTAATATCACATAATGCATGTCTTTACTTATATTACAAAATCAACATTAGAAAAGATGAGGGAAAGAACAAAAAGAAAGAAAAATATATTAACAAATATAAACATCATATCAACTTGAAGATAAAAATAGTGAGTATTGATGTGCTTGTGTGTGTGTGTGTGCGCGTGGGTGGGTGGGTGCAACAATTTATGTTCTAATGGTAAATTTAAGCATATTGAATAATCGTCCACGAAATACACAAAAGCGTAGTAATGCATAGAAACAAACTATGAAACAAATAAAATAAAAAACTGTTCTAAAAGCAAGTGGGCAAATTGTATACGATATAGTCATTTCATTGTTCGAATTCAATGAACCTGCGAGATTCCGTGATATCCATGATCCTTTAACAAATAATAAACGATCGGAGAATGGAACTTTTCGGATGTTTCTATCAAGTGATCTATGCTTTACATAATAATTCATATTATTGCTACTATCATCTTCCAGTAATGGTGGAAGGGAACTGAAAAGCAAAAAAGGAGAGAAAAAAAGTAGAGAGAGAATTCAGCAATAATCAATCTAATAGCACACAAAAATACAAACACTATACAGAAAAGTTAAATCACGCTGTTGTATTCCTGTCCTGAAGGAAGGGATTATAGGATAAATATTGACTAACTGCCTTCAAAAGAGAACTGATACTGTCACAATTCCCCTAAGAAATGTCTACACTCGAATCAAACAATCTTCAAAAACTACGGTAAAATTCATTCTACCGTGTACAGACAATATTTCTGAAAAAAACAGCTAGAATACTAAAAAAACATTTGGAACAGATATTATAGCACATAAACCAACACAATCACTTCAATCAATACTATACAGACCAAAAGACGCAATAGCAAAAGAAGATCAACACCATATAGAAAGTAAACTACCTGAACTGTGATAAGCAATGCATTGATCAAATATGAGTTCCCTTCGACGCCGAATCCAAGAACATTAAACCAATTGTCAAAAGACACATCTACTGTTTCATATCAATGCGTGTGAGAGTTATGGATACCAGTATTGTTGTGCGCCACTGATAAGATTTATTAGTAGTATATTGGCATAAAATGTCAAACAGCAAGGAGATAGATTTGATGTCAGAGAAAGCAAATGATATAGCGTTGAGGAGATACATTGGAGACGTGAAAGGAACACAAAGAAACACACTATGAAGGTCAGAAGCAGCACAACATGGAAGATTTGTGCAAACGGTGTGTTGAAGATAAGGTGTTCATAATTTGACTGTATAGATAAACTAGATTCCTATTAATCATTCTTTTAGCAATTTTCTCGTCCTCTACCGTGGCAGTATTACTGGGAAAATGTAGAAATTTTACACAAAAGAAACAATAAAACCCAAGAAATCCGATTGAAGCTTAGTACTCAGACGAAACAGCGATTCACAGATACATTATTATAGATCAAACTTATCAAGTAATAAAAAAGTCAAATTCCAAGTTGATTAAAAACGACCGATACTGACGCAAATTAACAATCGATCAAGACAAAGGTTGCTAGGAGATGAAATTATATTATTGATGGAGAATTCAAATAATTTCTCTTCATAATGAGGGTTGAGCTGAAGATGTCTAGAAGGACAGTGGTAGCTTAGCAATTAAATCATCCAACTTTGAGAACACAACCACATCGAAATCATCCACCTGAGCTACAAATCTATATTATTTTAGATCAAGAATACTTAAATGTTAGAATTAAGAGATCATCGATAGATTTTAAAGTAGATAGCGTCAAGAAGGAACACTAATTAGAGTAGTACTACAGGCAGTAGGCTTCTTCAACTGTTTTTATTCACAACAAGACGACTCGTGGAATATGAAGTTATCGTTGTTTAGTAGTCTTTTGGCTATATGACATGAGACTTGAACTAAACACATTGACATATTAAGAAAGGTATGGAGGATTTCATCATGAGCTGACATCAGTTAGAGAACCACTGGAAAACCTAGGAGTACTGGACGGCTGTTTCGTCCTAGTTTGGGACTCTTCATCAGTACGCGCCCACCGGGATTCGAACCCAGGACCTTCTGGTTACAAGGCGAGCTCGTAGACCATTGAGCCACTGGGACCCGATCCAATGGTCCTTGAATTCTAACTTCTGCCAATTCACGACATAGCGCGACCATTTCGCAATGTCTTCTCAGATGAGTTACTGTCACATCCTCAACCTGCTGTACCCTACTGGTCACGGCTTCCCACTAGAACCCCATGATGAAATCCTCCATACAATTAAACAAAATCCCTACCAAACCAATACTTGAATATTAAGAAAGGGTTAAAAATACCTTTGTTAGCATTTTAATCTTGTTATTTATACTTATAACAGAGAATGTTCAACTGAATTTCAGACGTGTCTTTATATTCAACCCTTCATTGAATCCAATTATCACTACATCAGATATGAATAAAACTTAATCAAGGAAACGTTGAAAGTGTAGCTCTCTTATTCATAAAGTTGGATAAAGCAAGAATAAGAACTCTTGGTGGGGATCATGCATCTGCAGCGCTAAAAGAGTCCCAAAGTAAGACGAAACAGCTATCTAGTGCTATATCTTTTCTGAGTTCTGCCCGCCGTCATACTATGATAGCTGGTTAGTGCAAGATAAAACGTCTCCTTACTGCAACTCCAATCATGATAATTGTTTAATTTTTTCTCTCATCTAGACTTTTATTGTATCCAACCTCTTCTTAATGGGATCATCTTTTTTGCAAATAATGTAGTCATTTTATCACTGATCGACTATTGAACACAGTATTCACTGTGTTTATCCACCTTTTTTAAAATTTAGTTTTGAGTATTCTACTTCTATTTTGTTTGTCACCTATTCCAGTCTGTATGTTTTCTAACGTCAATTTTATCACAGATTCGACATCAGTTACAGAATCACTTATTAACTAAGAAGTACTGGGCAGCTGTTTTTCATTTCAATTAGAGTCTATTTAGTAGTGCACATAAATGACTCCACCAAGGATTGTTTTCAAGAATTTCAGCTCACGAGGCCAGCCCGTTAACCATTCTCATCCAATGGACTATATAGTTTAGTGACCCATGAATTTTAAGTTGTGTTAATTAATTCACGATACAGAAATGCTGCCAACCAATGATATGGATAAGCATTCACTATATTCTGATATGTTTGACTCCACCGATTACAACTTCTCATCAGAACATCCTATCTAGTAGTCATTAGTGAGCTGAAGATTGATATTTAAACTTTTGAGTTTCGCAAGGAGTTTGATTGATCTTGATATGTATTTCTGTACAAACAGACATCAGTTAAAGAATCATTGCGAATCGAGGAGTATTGGAAAGATGTTTTGTTCTACTTGTGTACTTGTTGTGTGCGCTTGTGCACTAGTGTGGTGAGAGATGGTTGCTAGCCAAATTGGTTGACAGTAATTGAGGTCAATGTTTATGTATCAAATATTAGTCATGTTGTGGTGAGAGATGGTTGCTAGCCAAATTGGTTGACAGTAATTGAGGTCAAGGTCAAGATGGACAGGCGGATACAGAACTGACACAGCCACAAGAGATGCAAGGTTAACTTTGTGTGAGAAACAACCAACCAACAGACTGTATTTTCTACTAACATTAACCTACAGTAATGTACGTCTAAATCTATAAATATGTGTTGATTTTCCGTAATAAACGTTCTGTTGCCTGGCCCTTGTCTTCTGTTGTTACACTAGTACTACCACCAATAACAGTAGTGTTCTTTTTGCTAGTGTTTATGACTTTTACAGAAATTTCCACCATGATGCTTACATAATCATCACAGCAGAGTCCTAAGAGTATATTTTCAGTGTGAAATTGTAAACTTTTATGTGAAATTTTTATGAATTATTACAAGAGAAATAAAAAGTTATCATATTTAGAAATACACACGTCCAGTGGCATGATTTTCACACTTATTTATTGGACATTGAGTAGAAGATGCCTTATTTTTGTACACTTAAATCAAAAAAAGGAAACAGATACGGATTTGCATACTTACTCAAATTGTTTTGTCAAAAGAACTTTCTGTGTAATAGCAAATAAATCCATCAAATATCCATCTGCAGAGAGTGTGTATTTAGGAATAAAAAATTCTCTCAAATACAAGCTTAATACAGCTGTAGCCACAGAAGTCATATGTGATAGGCAACCATCTATGAAATATGGAATAAAATACAATACAGTATACTGTATAAAAAGAATATAGCAACGAAGAAAAGAAAACAGTTCAAAATTTATTGGCAGGCAGTAGTGACTTCTAGCACGTTCGAGGTCTGGCTTATCAGCTGTTTACCAGGTTAGACTCAGATCGAAGGTATCAATCGTTTCGAATCATTTGAATTCGAATGGGTTAGATCCAGTTTTTCTCCTCTTCTTCTTCTTTCACTCCTTTGCATTCCGAGTGGGATAGACAGTTTCAAGCTTCAGCTTTGAAGTTCCAGTAGCGCTGGTGGTTTTTTTCAAGGGCGGGCATGCTAGCTGACTTCACAACCAACCGTCCCTCTTTTACCAGGCTTACCACTACTGGACTAGTAAACTAGACGAGACTTAAGACTGTGTCAACTGGAAACCGAATGCCCGATCACGTTTGTGGTTAGTGAGCATTCCATTCTATTCTTGAACCACCGACGTAGATTCAGTGTTTAGCAGGTCCTACTATGTGATGTGACTTGTTTTCACCTACTCAGTATCAATTAGAAGTATATACACCATCATGATATAATGCTTATTTCCTTCATTATCACCTATGGTATCAATCAGATCATAATATGTGATCTGAATACTTTGAGCTTCCAAAGAAAACTGTGGTGAATAGTCACACCCTTGACTGTACAATAATGCAAATGATAAATTTAATACGAAACCATCATTACTACAATGGGATAATATGAAAAGTAAATAGTATATTTTTCAACCAATATTATCAGCACACTTGACTGTTTAATTTCTTGTATGATTTATGATTCAAGTTCCAGGGACAAATACAACTAACCAGTATATTATTATTATTGTTTCCTTTAATTCCTACAGGAACATAGGGCTTCAGCCGTGCGTCTCCATTGCGTTCGGTTCTCTGCTAGAGTCTTCACCTGGCTCCAAGTCTGCCCACACGTTTTCATCTCCTCTTCACATGACCTCCTCCAAGTCACCCTCACACTGACGACCAACTCGTCGCTTCCCTTTCGGGTTCCACTCGAGGGGTTGTCTAGTGATGTCACTTGATGGTTTCCTCAGAGTATGGCCAATCCATCTCCCGACCGATAGCTGCTACCTTGACGTGGTGGTCGGGCTTGCATATCGCAATGACCCAACGAGCTACACTGGCTGGAACTTATGTTCCTGTAGGTCCTACCATGCCAAAAAGGTTGTTTGGATAGCGGTTAGACCAGAAGCAGCTACCCAATCCAATGTTATGATTCAAACAAACTCACAAAATATCATGCCGGATCGGTCGGGGCTCATATTAACAACGACCGCGCTTCCTGCTGCTGTGTCACAGGGCAGAAGTGATAAATATGCTAATGAGACACACCAAACAAGAAAGAACAAACAAAAACAGGCCGCGTGTGACCGGCCTCAAGCAGTTGTTCCCTGGGCTCTGCGGTCACGCAACTAACCAGTGTTTATTACTTAAAACTGCTGCAGAAATTAGTTCGTCATTCTTCATACAGCATAAATTAATCTGTTCAATACTTTTCCTGTTGAGATTTTCTGAGCTTATTAGAGACATATAACATGATTGTTATTCTTCCAAATATTAAGCAACTCATGGAAATTAATTAGCGTGTCATTCAGCATAATAATGATTGTTATGACTGAACCACTCTCTTTACTGTTATGCTTTCAATGTAATCTATTTGTTCACTGAAGAAATATTTCTTTTCAACGACTTAATTTTCAAGCTGTACAGTTGTATTTATATTTCAGAAAAAGGCATTAAATAGCACTATGTTTTTGCTAATGAATTAATGGGTAATCAATCTATTTGGTCGAAAGTTTGTATACTGTTTCAAGTGTTACGTTGTTTTAATATTGCATCTCAGCACGGATAGAGGAGGCTCGTCTGGCACATGGCAATTCACGTCATCTCTGGCGTAGACGTGATATCCGGCTGGCTGTTGACCAAAGGGCGTGTGTACTGCTCAGCAGTTCGCTCCGTCCTCCTTTTATGGCTATTGGTGAGACATGACCATTGAAAGTGGAAGACATGAAAAGCCTGGATACCTGTCTTTGACCCTAGGTGTCTGTTTTTTATCTCTCTTATTAATTGGTATAATAAGGTGAGTAATATTGGGGTTAGGCATTGGTCGAGTGTTAGGTAAGGAGGGGAAATCAGTCAATAAGGTTGTGAAGTTACACCGACTGAGATAGTTAAACATGTGTTACGCATGCCTAGCCATAGTATTCGTCTACGGGTAATGTTAGTTAACATGGGATGGATCAGGTTGGAAAAGAGCTATTGGTGGTCACACCAAAACATTGGAATGAGTCAATGAAATTCACAACAGTTAGTTTAAGCCACGTGGGAAGGTGAACACTTCCTGTTAGAGGTCCATGGGATGGTAAAAACCAATGGCTGGAGACAATTGGTTATATGGCTGAAAATCTTTCTCAACGGCTGGCAAAGATGCATGCACTCTTTGTGATATATAATACTTAATAAAACTACATTGTTCTTCGATATTACTATTCTTTTTGCTTTATATCGGTCGTTCGACGCTCACCCTGTCCAAGAGGATTCAAGAACACTACCCAGCATGGTTGCGAAAAGGCAATAGTGGTGCAGTAGGGAGTGTGATAATTGAACACCTAGTTAACACTGATCATTCCATCTTAACAAACGCCTCCTTCAAAGCATTCTACAGGGTCAAGAATAACCTACCTAAGGCAATACGGTTTCGTCTTCTTTGTATCGCTGAAGCTCTGGCCATTCATATAGAAAAACCAGAGCTGCGCCTACAAAAGAGAATTACTCAACCACTTCTACTATCGTGGTAAAAATTTTGTTGATTTTTGATGACTTAATTTTGTTTGTTTACCTGTTTCTTCAATTGCTTATAATTCTTGTATTCATTTAGAATTCTTACGTAATTTCGTATTCTCTACTTTGTTCCTATGTGTATCCTGAGTTAAACTCAATCACCAAATTATTCGTATTATTACATAACTTCTTTTTAACAACTTTTTGTGACAACTCATCACCTTTGTTACTACCCTAATTTCATTAACGCCCAATTTTCTTGACCGATTTTGTATTACTTAACTCCAATTACCAATCTTCACCTGTTTAGTTTAGTTTAGTTAAAATAACCATAACCAATTGTATTTTTGAATAAGATATTTAGAAGACAAATTTCGCAAGATGATATCGTCATTTCGTAGTTTCTTTACAACCGCTTTACAACTAACGTGATTAACAATAATAAAATAAAGATCATGACAATTACTCAGTTAAATGAAAAACAAAAGTACAAACTGATGACCAATCATATTTAGATAGGTCATGTGGTCCATGGTAGGCGTGTGTGCTAGTTAACTTATTCAGACAAGGTCTATCAAAAAATCACAACATAAAGTGATTGAATCAATTTTTTTTCTCAATACAAAATAAAGAAGTGAAATGTGCATACCTTTATGTCTACGTTCAGCAAGAGGTTGGCGCATAGGAAAGATAATTTTAGTAGTGTTCACTGTATTCTCATTGGAGTTATATGTTGAGGCAATAAAACATCCAGATGGTTGTTGCCATGACAAAATCTCATTGAGTACAGAAAGTTGAATAAATCTTCCATAACCAAGACTGCCACAGACAAAAACTGAAATCAATATTAAATAATATTCACAGTCACATTAATTACTACTTAATGAAGGCATAATGGTAATAATTAATAGAAATTTTAATAAGTAAGAGTGGATAATAAATTTCTATTAACCTGTACAATATTTGTAGATACACTGCTTAAAAACTTGGGCTACCAAAAACCTTCATCAGTATATTGCATATAGTAGTTTCTCGTATTCAATTTGTTTAAGTCTAATAAAATATGACCTCTGATAATGTTGTTTACACTAGAGAGTATTTAAAAGATTTACAACCTGCAAATTCACACGTTTCTACTGAACATGAGAATAAGCATTATCTTCAGCAGTACGCGCCCACCGGAATTCAAACCCAGGACCTTCTGGATCGGGTCCCAGTGGCTCAATGGTCTACGAGCTCGCCTTGTAACCAGAAGGTCCTAGGTTCGAATCCCGGTGGGTGCGTACTGATGAAGAGTCCCAAACTAGGACGAAACAGTTGTCCAGCACTCCCAGGTTTTCCAATGGTTCTCTAACTAATGTTAGCTCATGATGAAATCCTCCATGCAATCAAACAAAATCCCTACAAAACCAATACTTGAAAATAAGCATTATCATCGATGGCAGCTTATCCAAGTACATGAGATGATTGTTCCTGAGTGCAGCTATTGGATCACAAAATGGACTCGTAAACTTTTTACAATTGGCATTTAACAAAATATCGTGTATATCTCGAAGGAGATAAAGAAGAGGTAGCATAATGGATAGGTTTGCGCCTCCGGTCAGATAACATTGTGTCACACGATCTACTTGTCAATTAGTCTTTTATATGAAGATCTTTGACGAACATTATATAAACGATGCTCAGAATAAAGCTATTATTATTACTATTATTATTATTAGATAAAGCCCATTGTTCAAGAGGTCGTATCTGTAGCAGAGTGGACAGCGTTTTGGCATTTGAAACAAATAACGTTGGGTTTGAGTCTCAATGAAGATATCATCACTGACTTAGGAAGCAGGTGCAGCTTGGGTTCTACAGTTGACCACCATCAATTAAAGTTAAACTACTGAAGTTTACCTTTTAAAGCTGATTTTAATCAGTTTACAAGATATATCTGATGTTTGTATTCCAAAGAAGAATTTTCCCTACAGAAAAAGGTAATAATTTGGTATTTATAAATACATTGAAAGTTTGACGAACACTATAGTTTCTACACATCGGCGTTTCATTTTGTAGAATGCTTGCCAGTCAAGTGAGAGGTCTGGGTTCGATTCGCTGGCAACGCACTTCTACACCTCGTCTAGTTTACTAGCTGGAAGTAAACTCAGAGAAGAGGAAACGTTGGGTATGAGGCTAGCAAAGTTTATTTCGTAAAAATAGCTCCAACGCTACTGAAGCTCCATGTTCTACTCAGAATGCAAAAGGAATGAGGCAATATTTTCTATAATGATAAGAAGGAAATTACAGAAACTACTTAATCAAAGGAAACAGTCAAACATGAGAAAGGTTCAGTGTTGACATTTAGCAGTATAAATTACAAAGACTATATAATACAAGATATTGATATTTAGCCATCTAGATTTGAGTACATGATAAGCCGGGGGTAAATGTCTCTAAACAACAAAAACGCTATAAACTGACATAAACACAGTGTATATTGAGCATTGGTTTTGTAGGTTTGTGTTTGACTGGATGGGGAATTTCATCACGAGCTGACATCAATTTGAGAACCACTGGGAGAAGTTAGAATTCATGGGTCATTGGATCGGGCCTCAGTGGCTTAATGGTCTACGAGCTCGCCTTGTAACCAGAAGGCCCCGATGTCCAAGCCCCAGCGGGTGCGTACTGATGAAGAGTCCCAAACTAGAACGAAACAGCTGATAGTCCAGTATTCCTAGGTTTTCCAGTGGTTCTCTAACTGATGTCAATTCATGATGAAATCCCCCATACAATGTATATCAGAATAAATACGTAAAATGTTAAACATTTCAGTTGAAACAAGTAGGTTATGTTTCATACTGTTAAATTATAAAAGTAATAAAAAGTGATAAACGTCAAGCCATTTTATTGGGCTTTCACAGTTATTTATAAAATATTCATCGAGATAATAAAAAGGAGGAATATGTAGTAGATGAGACTCAGTTACCGAAAAGAGAATCTCCACCGATCCAACTGATCTCTTTCTTCCTTTCTTTCTATCATCTTCATATCGAAACAGTCATTAGTGACATACTACTTTAATCACTTCTAAGCCTATTACATTAATTTTTTGAATCTTTTTGAAAACAGTTACTATTATTTTTATTTAAATACTTTGTTTAAAATAACTGATGTATTACATTACATTTGAAATTCAAATGAACACTACGAACAGCATATACACTTATTTTAAAAAATCAGTTAGAAATAAGTCATTATAAACCGCTTTTCTCTTCTGTAACCTGGTTATCCACAACGAACTGACGTAAAGTATTACTGTCAGATGATAATTAACAGGTTATATACATATATGTATATAAGCATTACCTGTTTGTTGAAAGTTGTCGTTTTTATGCGATAAAAACTTATCAAAGGTGATCAAGCTTCAGATATGCTCAAAAATCGTCCCTCTAAATCAGTCAGTAAGACGTTCTACGCAGCAAAATTACATATGATGTTCACTAGCCGCAAGTTGTTCTCTATCTCTGTAAAAGATAAGCTCCCCCATCTGGCCGCCTCCATATGCATCTATCAGTTCACCTGCTCTTGTGGAGCAAGGTACATTGGCCGTAGTTAGAGGACGCTTTCCACACGGATACGAGAACATATTCCTGCTGCATGGTTTTACAAGGGAGAAAGGAAGTGTGTTCAAAGCTCTATTCTAGAACACCTGATCGACTTCTGTCACTCTGTCAACCCTGACCATGATTTTAAGATCATATATAGAATCCATGCTAACTTCCCGCGTTTTCTTCGTTACAGACTTCTAAAGACAGCTGAGGCCTTGGCAATTCATGACTTTAAGCCAGACCTTTGTGTACAAAAGAAGTATGTACAATCCCTACTTCTGCCTTGGCCGTAGAGGGATAGACATTTATTTATTTTGTTTATTTAGTTATTCTATGTACTTTTCCCTTATTACTACTACTATTATTATTATTATTATTATCATTATCACTATTACTATTCTGACTCTGAATCTTTTCCACTTGACCCACTTGACATTTTAAACCCAAAATTATTGATTTTTATATTTTTATTTTTACAATATTGAATTCTATCTTATCGAAGTTCACAACATGTTATGTAACATTTTATATTCGTCTAATGATCTTATAATTATGTACCCCTTTCCAAAATCCATACACCTTATGCATTATTCTGTATACGACATTAATTATTTTTGCCACTTGACATTAAACTATGATTATAATCACAAATATTTTAATTGCATTTCATACTACTATTATTATTTCATGTATTCACACCTTGACCTAATTCCCTCACCGGATATTATTTTTATAAAAAACACCATATATATACGATTGTACAGCTTGATAATAAATTCGTTGAAAATAGTCTCTTCGCTGAATATTGTGTTCTTAATGCTACAATGGGAACTATTAAATTAATATTTAATGGTAAAGAAAAATGATATTAATGGAGCAGAATAAGTGAGAATACTTTCATTTGTAGGCCACACTTGAGTGACTTAAAGGTTAATCTAAAAATTAGGAAACAAAGAACTTGGATGGTAAATGAATTCGCCTGGCATTAATTAATGAGCTAGAAATCGTAATGTTGTGCAATGAATGTGACACTGATATATCAATAAATTTATTTACAGTACTATTACGACCGATCATGAATCACAGGGAATATACAAATCTTGATGACTATCAACTCTACTTTAAATACCCTATTAAGTTCTACCAATGAGTCTGTAGATAAAATTATTATACTTTCTAACTGGTTAGTCAGTTTTATTAGTAAATTTAAATAAACTGAACTCTATTAAAAGCTTGAATAAAACTTACTTTGTTCAAGTACTATATCCTGGTAGGAAGGTTTTGTTCTCACATAAGAGAATGAATTTACAAGATCTTGATATAAGACTAAACACAGCTGATTTTTCAACTCCTCGAAATTAACAGAAAGAGCAGATAACATATTAGCCAAAGAATCAGTACAATTAACCTGCTGATTAAATCATATATATTAATCAAATTACTTGAAATGTAATTAGTATGTACAGAATTTGATGAGCTAATTCGTATCCATGAGATTTAAAGTTCAATAGCTTGGTGACGCAATCCATTGGAAGAATACAATTTATACTTTCTGGACGTCTTGATTTTAATAGTTGGCTGATACATTTATCACTTGTAATATGCTTTGATTTTTGTGTATTAATTGTGTTTGAAATCACTAAGTTTGATTTATACAATATATTTTCATTGGGAAATATCCAATCCAATGATAAAAGTTTACCCATTTCAATGAAATACGGGTCTTTCGTATCATTCAAAAAAGTAATGCTTTTTGAAATTATTGTTTTAACTGTTTGAAGTTGTGTTTGAAATTTTTGACCTAAATCTCTCCAAGAAGATGGTTTTTCTCCATCATAATTGTTCAAAAAATTATAGACAATGCTTTCAAGTGCACCTGAAGGTTTTATGGCAAGCTGACTTACCTTTCAATGGAATTAAACCGAATATTCCGTCAAAATTGAACTCTTCATTGTGTTGTTCATAATAGGAAATCACTTTTTCTGTAGATGTTAGCAGTGCATCAAGCTTTTCACCAACAGGATTGTATCCTGATACTAAATGAACAATACACAACACGTGAATGATTTTCAAGAAAATACTGTCCATCTATTCTCTGAAGATCGACAGTTCAATAGAGACAGAGTGAGATAACTGCAGACCAACTGAATGACTAACAGTTTTGGAGGTTTGACCTGAAAGTAAAAACAAAATGAGCGTATTTTACAACTTTGGACTGTTCTAAATACTCGTACATGCAGTACTTTTAATCAGTTACTGTTCAACACTACCAAATTCATTGGAAATAAGGATAATATTTTGATAGCTAACCTTTAGCTGATCGATACGGTCATCGTATCCGTTGAAATAATCAATTGGAATCAATCGTTACGCTTATTTTCGGAATGTAGAGGAACAAAATTTACAGAGGGAAAGGATTATTAGAGCAAACATCCTTACTTAGAGAGCCTTTTCAATGATAGATAAGGCCAGCCAGTCTCATTGCTGACAGTACTGACTACACCTTGCTTGATATTAAGCTGTATACACGATTTATAACCTATTTCATTTTGTTAAGAATTAAACAGTTTTTTGAGGAGACTCATGTACAAAAGTTCGGTGTATCTTATTCTTGGACAAAGCAGCTGAATATATCGAATGACAACTTTGGTTAGCCCCAACAGTGGCTGAATTTGTCTTGAAATCACTATCATCATTGGTTGAAAAGTAGTAACAGCGTCGTCTAATGAATAATATCATAGAGAAATGTGTGAAGACTGGAACAATATGATTGTACACTTTTTTGTTAGATGTTTAAAACGATTCGTTGCAAGATACAGATAACTTCGGAGTACAGTCTAAAATACAGTGTGCTGATCGAAGCTTCACCTTCTCACTACTCCATACTATTTATTTGGTTTATTACTAACCATGTCGTATACTTCTGACTTTGCAGAAACCTCTCGCCCTCATCCGAAGACTATTCTACAACCGGTACACAGCTTCTACTAGTAGACACGACTCCAGCAGTGACCACTTTGGTGGATTATATTATTAATTTGTAGCGGCGGACTTTAACTGTTTAACCAAGTAACCATCAATTTACACAACTCATTAACTGTAGTTTTTATGGTACACTGTTACACTATCATTTCATTAAGTTGGACTTTTATTCTAATATTTGTTCCGTTACCGAGCTCACTATAAAGTCCCCCACAAATGAAACAGGAGAGAGATCAGTTGCTCCTGTTAAAATGGGATCACTTTTCTCTAATAAAAAAGTTTATGATGTAGTTTGAAAAACCATGAAAAGGTTAAAACTATATGGTTTGTTGATATAAGTATAAAACTTGGGCACTGTGGTAGAGCATAACTCCATCATGGATAAGATTTTATTTTGATAAATCACACAGTGTTGTACAGTAATATTAACTGTTAATATTACTGTACAACACTGTGTGATTTATCAAAATAAAAACTTATCCATAATGGAGTTACATGGTGGGTCCTTAAAAATGTATTACTGGTTATCATATCACTCAAATAACATCGAATTAGTGGATTTTACAATTAAGATTCCTAATATCTATTATAATTAAATACATTATTGTTGTTTGATGTAAATATCAACGCTTGAAGCTAATTTCTAAGTGTTTCAGTTTTTTAAGGAAAATTTACTGTTGTCCACGGCTTTCGGATTTAGGGTGATCCTTTCAATAAACATCAAGTAAAGGATTTAACACTGACCATGATTACATTAAATCTGCTGCAAATAAACCATTACTTATAATCGGTATTCACTCGAAATGCAAGACTGACCAAAACACTAACCTAAGAAGTTTTCAGTCGAGCTGTTGTAGGGGTTACTTTGAGGTGTAATGAGCCTTACTAATTAACAGCTCAAACAGGCTCAGATCAGGAGGTGAAATATATGTTTATGCTAATTTTTGTTTCTTAGATGGCACCAAGAAACGAAGCAAGAGATGATCTGTAGGTTGGAAATATATCATCGCTGGAGGTCCTTGAGTTTTAATAATTAGAAGACAGATGCTTCTTAGCTGATATGCACTAAACACGTAAGCGTCAGACTGAGTTGGTGGTGTGCTACTCAAGACGCGTGACTAAACTATAGCAGCACAAAACGAAACTACCTCTAGCGACTAATCAGATTCGTAAGAAGCAGAAGTGCACAATTTGAAATAAACGTCTATATACAAGTAATGCAATGTTAAAAATGGCTACATAGGATAATATTCTTGTATATGTTCTAAAAAGGCCTCTCAATTTCTCATAGTCAGGTTAAATCAACTTCTCTAAATAAATTCGTCAAGGTCATCAATCCGTTCATTAGGTAGTTTCGTTTTGGGCTTCTATAGTTTGGAGTCACTCTCAAGACGTTTCTAACCGTTAAATATGGAAAATACGTATAGTAATATATTTAACACAAAAATCCTGTTATCTGAAGTTAGCCATCACATTGGAAGACAAAGAACAACTAGACTAGCTCACGGAAGTAGTCGCTTAATAATCCAACCCAAAAATACTCTATCTTTATTCACTGTGCGCAAAGTGTATCAGTTCAACTGCACATGAAAGCAAGGGGAAGATAAGTAGTGAAAACAGATTGGACGAAGATGGACTAGTAAGGGGATAATTAGATACACATAAGTGAAAGTTTTCATAGTCAAGGTTATATTAGAAAGTGAATACATCTGCACCACTGCGATAAACTTTCAGCTTTTTGATCGATTTTTAGCATCTGAATGACTCTATTCAGGCAGCTTACGTTGCATGCTCAAATCTCGGGTATGCTGTCGTGCTACCATAATTGAAATTTGCAGACTAAGGGATACGGTAATCTATTTACCCCCCGACAGGCGCTAAATACAGGAAGTCACTAGGTATGGTAAAACGATGTCACGAAATTTTAAGAGGATATTCTTAGAATTGATCCAATACACAGACGACTTTGCCAACTATGAAACATGCCAAAGACGTTGCCTTTGATACTTATCACGCTTTAAATCCGAAGAACAGTATAGCATTAAAAATTCTAAGCTTGATTTGCCATATCTTCTGAGATGACTTTCCCTCATCCATCGACGGCTGAATCCATTGTCACAAGAACTCCTAATAAGGATATAAAAAGTCACGAATTTTTATCAAGGCCCCTAACAATGACATCTCACTAATCCTTAGAAGAAGTGTAAAGCTATTGGGAAAACTTTAGTCTAAAACGTAGAGTGATTCTCTTAACCAACACTGACTGGTGGAGGTCCAATCACTGCCTACAAGAATGAAAGCAACCAGAGTCATTTAAATAAGCTAAACCTTGAAGTAATCCATTATGCACTTTATTTTATCTACCTGGTGAATATTAGTTAGGTGAACTTCTGCCTATTCTCAAACATTTTGCGTTATACTATCTATTGGAGACGACGAGATAAAATTAACAAGAGGTCATATACCAAAGATACTACTTTAGGGTGCGGACTTCTTTTGGAAGCCCCATCTGAGAAGTCATCATCGAAAGAATTGTGGAATTCACCTCAAATGAGGATCAAAGGCAACAATTGTCAGGAAAACTCGTCCCATCAAAACTAGACTTCGTTTAAAGATAGGAAATCAAAATACTGGCAAAATGGAACGCATACCTGAAGGACACCAGAAAGGCGAACGCATAAATAAATAAATATATATATATAAGCAATATACTATCGACAGAATCGACGATGCTAATATCTAACCTATAGTAGGTCATTTTAAGTAGGAATCGATAACCACTCTACTCCTACCAGGATGCCAATTTTAATCTAATTTCTAGCTGTTATGCTGTCCAGAATCAGTATTAAAATGTGAACTGACAATTTCATCCCTGGTTCTGTCAGACTACTCAAATTTTTCTTCGTATTCTCTGAACTCGTTCATTTTAAGACCAGGATCTGACTAGAAATTAGTTGAAAATTCTTTTACTTCGCCCTAAAACAGTAAATAGACGAACATACGTAGTCCAACACAATTAGGCTAATCGCCCATTGATTGTAACTGGCGCCTTTTACTTTTGCTTTGGTAACAAAAGAATGTTACTTTATATAAAAATTTTTAATTAAGATTTTTGGTTCTAGAAAGGACACTCCCACTCCTTCATATGCACTTATGTAAATTTTATTTCACAGATGTATGTACATCCCAGTGAACATATCACTTCCAATATCCAATATCCATTGTCGTTTTAACGAGCTAGTATTAACCAATTTGATTTGTTTGTGCTCGCCTCTTGATTGTGAGGTATAGGTTCCTGATCTTCAGTAAACTTCTGCGTAGCTCGTCCCGCCACTTGACTGTCGTAGCTTTGGTTGACTCCTAAAGAAGTAGTGCTGGGATTAATTATATGTGGCTTGTAGTGTGAAGTGTGTTAAGACTGTTACTACTGTTAATGGAGTTGGTCCTTTCACCAGTTATCCCTCCAGTATAGTCGTCAAAAGAAAAGATATAATAATAATAGATATAATTAGTGAAGTTATTCAGACTAACAGGCAGAAAAAGAAATAAAGAAAACGTAACAACAGACAGCTGATTAAATTTGAAGTTGATGTATATATATATATATATATCGGTAATAATAATAAGTGTAGTTACAGTTGTCAGGAGAGTAAGACGGGAGAGAATGTAAAGAAGTAAAACGACGAACTTAGTTGTCAACCCCGAATGGTGTATGGGATTTTAAGGGGATAGGCCATTTGGACGCAGTCCTTGTGTCGCCGCATGATTGTCCAGCCTTCGCTTAAAGGCGTCCACAGACGGTGACATAGCTACATGTTCCGGTAAGGAGTTTCAGGGACGGCAAACTCGTAGTGAAAAGAAGTGGGAGCGCACCCTCTGGTGAGCTATCCTTCTGGGATTTCCATGCGGAGGCCTATACCTACTCAATGGCAGAACGCCTTTCTTCGGGTGATTCTGGTCATTTGTTATTTTGTAGGCAGTAACCAAATCCCCTCTAAGCCTATGGTAGCTAAGTGTGAATAGGCCTAATTTCTCTAGCCTTTCGTCATATGGTTTATTTCGGAGACCAACCACTCCTTTTGTTGCCTGTCGTTGGACTCTTTCCAAGGGGTTGGCGTCTCTTCTAAGCAGTGGAGGTGCAATAATATACTATGCACTTCAAGGTGTGGTCTGATGTATGTTTTGTACAACCTTAGAAAGAGCTCAGGAGTGAGTGCACCTAACTGTCTATGTGTAAAGTGCATGACCGCATATGCCCTCGCTACATGCCCAGTGTAATTCACGCTTGTGTCCATTTTCTCCGTTAGAACTAGACCTAAGTCGCATTCCGACGTTGTGCAGGACAAGCTTTCATTGCACAGAGTGTAACTTGCATTCTGCAGTCTACAGGTGCGTAAATTCACTACTTTGCACTTTTTCAGGTTGAAAGTCGTGCCACTAGCCACCGCCCAGTCTTCCAGAAGGTTTAGATCTTCCTGTAGCCTATCTGAGTCCTCCGGGCACTTTATCGCCCTCTATATCTTCACGTCGTCAGCGTATAGAAGAGTCGGGCAGCTTAGACGGCATGGTAGATCATTGGTAAAAATCAAAAACATCAGTGGTCCTAGGATAGAACCCTGCGACACTCTTGATGACGAGGTGTGTCAAGATGATCGGACTCGATTGACCTTAGTGCAAAATTGCCTTTCAGCTAGGTAGTCCTTTAACCATGACAGAAGTGGCTTACCTATACCTACTTGGCTTATTTTGTGTAGGAGAAGGTCATAGTGAACAGTGTCAAATGCCTTCTCAGAGTCTAGGTAGACCACAGGGACTGGAACATTCATATCCCAGCCTGATGTCCAATCGTCCCAAGCTGAAAGTAAGTTAGTAACGCAGAATCTGCCTTTCCTGAAACCGTGTTGGGCTTCATGGAGTATTTT